AAGTATTGAAGATAAGACGTTTATGTTATTGAGCCTAGTTACTATTCAGTTTATTCAGAAACTTTAGGCTTAATATTTATGTTTAATTAGTGTTTATATATTAATTGGGCCCAGCTTTTGTGTTTTGTCTGTATTGGATAAGTAGGTTATGATAAGGATCATATATTTTATGACAGCTGGTCAACAGATTGCTCCTTGTGCTTTACCAGGTGTTTCAGCCCTCTTCCAAACACCTGAGTAATGTAATGGGTTGCAACTTAGCATATGTTGCTGTAGTGTTAGCAGAATGGATCCAGAATGCTGTGTAGAAGCACAGGTCGTGTAATACAGTTTCAATTTAGTTTTTTAGGGCGCCTAACTCAAAACCAAACTATTAAAAAATACGACTGTGGATTAACAGATGCTTAGGCGTACTAGTTTTTTTGTTGAAAACACTCATCAGTTTTAAATAGTGTATGAGTTAAGCAGGTGTGGCATTACCAAATTAGGGACAAACTGTGAGTGTTATCAAAACGATGGTCTTTTCAAGGACATTTGAAAAACGCGTGATAGCATTGTTTTTTCTGGTAGCTTTCATTATGGATATTACCATATATAGCGAATACTCACTTTCCTAGAGGTGATTAATTGCTTTAAAATGTTGCATGCAAGCACAGAAATCAGTTTAAGATGCAGTTATAGGAGACCTATACACTGAATCAGGCATTATTGCAGATAGCTCAGTTTCTGTATTGATGGAGGTTGTCATTATAACTGAGCTGTCAGATTGTAGAAATATGTGTTTGAAGTCATGCTAAGGCTTCATTCCATGGATTGATGATCATTATCCCAACAAAAGAAATATCATTGAGCAAGCAGTTTGAAATTATAGGAGATTTTCAATACAAGTGCAGCAAAGAAAGTTTTACCATTATGTATACATCATACTTACACAACATCCACATCAGAGGTGTTTATAACGGTCACCTTGTGTTCTTTCAGAAGAACATTGAGCCCATGTCTGCATTCTAGATGTCCTATTTTGGCATGGTTTATGGTGTCCTCCTTGGACTATTCCCTTTTAGCCATAAGGCATATGATATTATAGTGTTTTGCATATGACAAGGTTAATTGTGCCAGGTACTTACCGATGTAGTATGCAGAGATGTCTCAGCTGGTCAAAAAATACTTGGAGTAGAAGATTATTTTTCGTGAAAGGAGGCTTTGCAGTACAATTCAGTAAACATAACCCATTTGGCCATATGTGCATAAAGATAAAAAGGTGCCAGGTAGAATGACAAAATATAGTCAGAAATCCAGAGCTGTGACTCACTTCTATGTTATTGCAGAATTCCAGAATGGTTACATTCACATGTTTTAAGGAATTGACAGGCCTTAGCAGTAACAGCATGTACCATGCAGAATTACAATCAAGGGTACTTAAAGATGAGAAGGTTGTCACAGCTGTAGTTGAAACACTGGAAAACTGGTGACAAAGAATTAGGGGAAGTTTCAGTTGCTCTGATGGTATCAACATAAATAGCAGATGACCTTTTTGAAGGCAAACAAAATGAGTGAAAATGATACAGCAAGTACTGTAATGAATGTTTAGAATCCCAGCAAGAAATTCCAAGATGCATTTTCAAAGCAAAAACTACACACCTTCACCAAAAAGATGAAAAATGCCAAAACAAAAGTTAAAACCAAAAGATAGAAATCATATTAAAAGCTGACAGAAGATTTTCTGATAGTTGTATCAAGGGAATTTAATATGAAAGATGTGTTTCTTTGTCCATTGCATCTGCTGCCTTGGTCTCCCTTAACTACTGACAGAATATCAGTGAAACAAGTCTGCATTTGCAAAGCAAGTGAGAAGGGAATTGCATTGGATAAATATCCGACAACCATCTTTAATGGCATGGCAGCTGTGCAGAAGATTAAAGGCATACTTGCGTGCATGAGATGTCATCAATGCTTGACAATGTGCCCAAACTACATGGAGAAAAGATTTTGTTTTTGATGTCTTCAGAGACATAATAATCAAGAAAACAGGGATGGCTAACCAATCTCTGGACCATGGCTTGCATTTTAGAAACATTTCCTGCACATAGGTGGTAAGGCAATGGAGAAAGTTTCTTCTAGCAGAAGAGTAGAACCAGTCCAATCTTCTCGGTAGACTACATGACAAGGAGCTGTTTGTTACATGTAGTCATGAATGTTACTGACTCACTAAAGAAGGCAAACATCATTTCAGTGTACACAAGAAGATGGTGACATAACATAACATAATATTTTGGGACAACATGGGACCTATTGGTCCATCTCGACGGTTCCATCCTCAAAACTAAATCAAAATGATCTAAAGAATAAAAAAAAATTTAAACCCAACCCTTTTCATTAATATACTTATCAAGCTTTTTCTTAAATTCACTTAAATTTACTGCCTCTAATACATCTGAAGGCAACCCATTCCAAAGGCCAACCACCCTGTTAGAAAAATAAAACTCTTAGCTGAAGATGACTCCTACCTTGCCAAATTTATATTTGTGTTCCCTAGTCCTACTATTCTCACTGTTAAGTATGAAAAAAGATAATACATCAATACTATCAATTCCCTTTACAATCTTAAACACCTCAATCAGAACCCTCCTAACTCTTCTTTTTTCAAAAGAAAATAATTTGAGGGAGTTCAGCCTCTCGTCCATATGACAAACCCTCCATCCAAGGCATCATTCTAGTAACTTTTCTCTGAACCCTTTCCAGCAATTCAATGTCCTTCCTCAGGTAAGGAGCCCAAGACTGAACACAATATTCCAAATGTGGACTAACCAGTGACCTGTATAATGAAAGTATAAACTCTTTAGATTTGAATTCAGTATTTCTATAGATACAACCTAAAATCCTATTTGCCCTACCACTAGCAACAGCACACTTCTTGGATGGCTTTAGAGACTGATCGACTATTACACCAAGATCCCTTTCCTTCATCACACCATTAAGGTTATTCCCATACAAATTATACTTATAATTCAAATTATGATAACCCACATGTATTATCTTGCATTTATTACAATTAAAACCCAACTACCATT